AGTCATAAAAGCCTTTGACTACCAGATGCAAATTGAAACTCAACAACTGAAGTAAAAAATGATAAATTATAATAAAAACTAAAATTAAAATTAAAATACACTTTCTTCTAGATGTGATACAGCTCTTTAACCCATGAACTTATAGCAGCAGTGATTATCCACATAAGACCTACACAAGACTGGGTTCACTAGTGTTCTAACATGGGGAGGGGAGGGGCTTGTGAGGTCCCCTCCCTCCTATACACGTAAATACGGTTGTTTCCTCCACTTGGATTCTCTTTGTATCAGATTCCAGAGATGAGGGAAAAGGGTAGTGTCACTAATCCAAACAAGTCCAGTCTGTGTGTCCTTCCAGATGAGGATTTCTGTGACTGAAGACCGCTTTCAGCCAGAACTATGTGATGTGAGAATCTCCACCTGAATCTTACAGCCTGTCTCCATTGTTTTGGCAACTCTATGCACAGAGCCTGCTTTCTGTGATGGGGACTCAGGGTGTATGAGAGGCCTGCCCACCCTAGCTTCACTTTGGTCTTTTATTTATTTATTTATTTTTTCTGGCTTTGAACCTAGGGTCTCTTATAAGGGAAGTGTGCTACCCTGAGCTTCAACCCAGTGCTTAGTTTACCTTTATTGTGCAGTCAGGATACGGTGACAGTTCCCAGAGCAGGTTCTCAGATGTGGTTTAGCTCTGCAGGCAATGGAGGGGAGGGGCCTTCTTTGGCAGATATCTACCAGTCTCAACTTCAGCTTCCTGTACCTCACTGTGCTCCCCTCTCCAGGACCTGAACTGCCCCTGTTGGCTCTCACTGAAGGCCTTGTCTAGCCTCTGGATTCATTATTGCAGCCTGGACATCCTCTCTCTGGCTCTTGAACAGCTCACACATGTGGGGGGACTTTAGTGTGGTTACAGCTCATGGCAGCTGGCAGGATCACATGCTGCGGCTAAGTGACAGCTATTTCTAAGCCCCACCCTAGCTAATTTTCTAATTTTTTTCTTTAGCTTTATTCTTATAAGAGGAGAATCGTGTAAGTTTTGATTCACTCCTTGAAACTAGATGAAAATCACTAGTTTTTCATCTGATCACTCATGCAACTTCTAATCTGATGTCTTACCCAGAAGTCCTATGGTTTTTTAGGAGTCTCAAGCTAATCAGAAACAGACTTCCCAGAATTTACTTCCCCATGTTGTTTGTTTTTAGGATTGGATATGAAAGAAGAAACTGTGTAAGACTTGGAAGAAAAGTGTGATAGAGCATTTATTTTTTACTTGAGGCTCAGATTCAGGCCCCAGGCTCTGGGGCAGCTCATAGACAGATCAGTTTACCACTGATCCATGCTCTTCCACTTTCTCTAGGTTTTCTTTGTCTCGGGCAAACTATGTGACTTGCATATTGGCAAACGATACTTTGTCTCCTGAAGTTCATCAGCAAATAGATTTGAGAGTGAGGGAGGATTGTCCTCACAGGTCCCATTGCCGTCGTGTCTCACGGCACCTTTGCAAGTGCTGCGTACGTGCAGCTTTCCTTCGTAATCACTGGTCTAGCTGACCGTTAGTAATTTAGGCTCACTATCACATTCAAGGACAATGATTTGCAGAGACCGCCCATCAGCTCCAGGAATTTCAGGATGTCAATTCCTTACAACTGATCTCTTCTACTTCAATCCTGAACGTTGTGTTCCTCTGGTTCTAACTTTCAAAAGCATGAGGATTACAGACTAAAGAAATTATTTTCTCTATTATTCCAGATAATTACACCTAGCTGTGTTCTGTTATCATCTATCAGAGAATCTGACAATTTAAATTATTATGGTGCAAGGTTTGCAACTTTAGAAAATCTATACACTTTCTGTATGCTTTATTTTTTTCACTAAAACCTTCTAGACAATAGAATAGAAGAAAGTTGTTCACAAAAACTTTTCCTAAATTATGTGGAAGGAAGTTTAATTTAGAATCAAACATCTGACTCAGACCACATATTAGGAAGCCACAGTTGGGACCTTGTTGAGGACGTGCAGGTGTGCCTCTCAGCTGAACTCCAAGAAGGGCCATGCTTAAGGAGCTCCAGTTTTTGTTCAGCTTGTAGTATCTTTTCAAATACTGTGAGTCCCCAAGAGCACAGAAATACTTCGCTGAATCTTCCAGCTGCAAGGCTGAAATGGTGAGGCTGATGGACTTGGCTGATCTCTGCAAGGAGACAGAATAGCGACCGCTCTTTTCATTTTGAAGATAAGAAATCTGACGAATCAGGAAAATCATCTCTGCACTGGGAAGCTGCTTGTACCAAAAAAGATAGTAATTGTTCCAACTTGTTTCATATGAACAGTGCAGGGTGACCTCTTTCCCCTCCTGTCCGCTTGTGGCTGGTTGGACTTGAGCCACTTTCTGGGCCACAGTGGATCCTGTTGAACAATCAGAATGGACAACTGATCATGTGATGTCAAGTGAAACACTGTAAGAATTAACTTAAGACCCAAAGGGAAGCCAGACTGAAGACACATTCTGCTTGCTGTTATCCCCTATCTGCTCCTCCTCAGGTCCATGTGGGACACCGTATGTCTCAGTGCAATGCTTCACCCTTAACATCTAAGTTCTATGTGAATCGTCCATACCAGAAAAGGCCAAGGCCACGAGCACACACAGAGGTCTTGGAGGAGGCATGAGGCACATGTCCTGCACAAATGTGTCTATTCTGACTCAGCTCAGAGTTCAGGGTCTCTGAGTGGTGTCAGTTTGCAGATGTACTGCCTGGGTTCTTATGCTGTGCACCAACCAGGAAATGGCATTTCATATGGTCATAAACCACAAGTTCTGTGTACACAGAGAAGTAGTGTAGCGTATAACAAACTCTTGCCTTTTTGCTTGTTTTTCTTGGTAATTAAAATAGGCAGTACTTTAAAGAGAACATAAGAAAATCCATTCCTGTTGAGGGATAAAGATTAGGGGAGCTACACATCAACCTGCTTCACACTCATGTTATTCAGTGGAATCACTGGGATTCACTAACTCAAATTTATCATGAGACATGGCTACTCTATAATGTGCATACTGCTCATTAACATACATTTACCTTTTCTCCACCCATAGTCTATAAAATTTAATGAAGAAAAATCCTTCACACGTCTTTGCATTTCTTGGTGAAAGCATTGGCATCTAAAATAATTGTAGTACTTCTCTCTTCCTTACTGAGTTTTAGGGTCTATTTCAATTCTGCTACTTCCCAATCAAATAAAAGGCAGTCCCTCAGAATTTCAGAAGCTGTTCATTTGTTTATATTATTTTTGAAATTGTTTCAGGAACAATATTCATCATCAAAGGTCAAGGAGATGGCTCAGTAGGTAAATGACATGCTGTGCAAGCCTGAGGGCCCAATTTTGGATTTCCAGCACCCACAGGAAAAGCCAGGCACTGTGGGTGCATCTGTAATGCTCAGCACTGGGAAGAACAGACAGGAGGATACCAGGGCCTTACTGGCCAGTCAGTCTAGTCCAATCAGGGAGCTCTTAGTTCAATGAAAGACTCTGCCTTCCACAAAGATAAAGTAGGGAACAATAAAGGAATATACCCAACATGGACCTCTGTCCTCCACCCATGTATTGCAACACACACACACACACACACACACACACACACACACACACAATCCATTATTCACTTTTTTGTGTTTTTGAGACAGGAACTCCGTGTAGTCCCAGCTGGCCTAAAACTTGCTATGTGGATCAAACTGGCTTTGATCTCAGAGATCTACCTCCTCTGTCTCTCAAATGCTGAGATTAAAGTTATGCCCCATCACACCCAGCTATGTAATAATAGTTTTAAAACTCACTTCTGAGGACTGGAGTGATGAATCAGTGGTTGAGAGAGCACACTCTTCTTACAGAGGACGTGAGTTGTGTTCCCTGTACCCTTGTTGGGTAGCTCATAACCACCTACTGTATCTCTAGCCCCAGTGAATGTAATGCCTCTCCATGGACTCCACAGACACCTGCACTCACATGTGCACATACCCATACACAGATACCCATACACATATACATAATCAAAAATAAAAATGTCTTTAAAACTCACTTTAAAAAAATTGGCCCCTAAAACGTTTTATTTACAAGGTATTAAAAGGATAAGAAAATTTCTTCCTGAACCGTCCACATAAAGAATTATTCTTACTACATTATAAGTACTAGAATTGTCCTGAGATGATGTAATATTGCTCTGGAGTCTCCAATCTCACCCATTAAATTGTAGTTTTAAACTCACAAAATGGTTGCATGATAATTATTGCAGATCTTTCTGTAACTCATGGTTATTATTTACTCCCACAGAATAGGATATGTGTAACTGGCAAGTATTTAAGGGCATATTAACACCACATAAACTGGTGGTTGAATTTTTGTGTTGTGCTGAATAATTGTTTAGAATATATCTCTTAGTCTTTCATCTGATCTCATTATTGTAATGATAAATTAACATACAGCAAAAGGCAATAAAAAAAGCCAGTATAAACAAGGTCACTAAAAGAGTTTTAATTCTTTGACACACATATAATAACAGATCAGTGAGCGGTACAAGTGCTAATTCCTGATATTTGAGTGTTCTGAGTGCTGACAGGCTGTCAGTGTCCTCATTTGCAGTCTTTGTACCTAAGCAGATGGAGAGTAGCTTGTGCCCACAGCAGCCTGTGGAGCAGGGTGATGGCAGGATGGTGTGACCCAGAGTGCAGGTGCAAGCTCCCACAGTACAGTGCAGCCACTGCCTCTGAAATGTGCCTTGAGAGTGTTTGAATGTGCTGAGCTGGAAAAATGGCTCCATTTTAAGCATTATTTTTTTGCCTTTCTTTGTAAGTTAATTTACAATCAATACTACCTAGTAAATAGCAAAGCTTAAGGGAGCTGGAGAGTTGGCTCAGTGATTAGGAGTTCTTGCAGCTCAGTTATGAGGATGGGAATGTGGATCCCAGGACTTATATAATGCACTGGGGTTCTGCAACTGCTTATAACATCAGCTCCTAGGAATCTAATGTCCTCTTCTTACCCACCTGCAGCAAACATCTGTGCACATGTGTATGCATGTATGCACACACTCTTTTTTTTGGGGGGGGTGGGCTTTATGAGACAGGGCCTCCCCCAGCTGGCCTAGAACTCACTATTTAGACCAGTCTGATCTCAAACTCACAGAGATTGGCCTGTCTATGCCTCCCAAGTGCTGGAATTAAAGGCATGCATCACCATGCCCAACATACGCATACACTCTTACACACACACACACACACACACACACACACACACACACACACATCCTGAGACAGAGAGACGAGACAGAGAGACAGAAAGAATGTGTTGCATATTTTCACCCAAGTTTTGCCTGTACTCCAGTTTCTAGTCTGATGTGAAGGTGAAATGTGATCACCAGTCCCAACTTCCCTACAGAGACAACCAGAGTCCTCACCCAGACCCTCCTTCCCACTCTTCCCACTCATCCTGACCCTGGGAACTTCACATCAGCAAAACATCTGCCCAGACAAATGAAGTCAGAACAGAGTTTTGCATCCTGAAGTCGTTCCAGCTGTATACCAGTTTCCGCTGGCAGCAGTGAGCACTGGTTGTTCAAAATCCAACTGAGCTCTGTGCTTAGCTTTATTAGGAGTCCGGGGAAGGAAGATTCCTGACAGTCATGGTGCAAACATCCAGCGCTGTCATTGGCTGCTTATGTCTATTGTTTAACAATATTCTGCAATCATAATTTTCAGGAAATCAAAACCTTTCCCCAAATGCTCTTTTGTCCCCAACACTATTGGTATGTCAATATTGTTCAAAATAAAATTTTCTACCTTTGGACCTTGAAGAAATAAAGATTCTCTTCTATTTTGTGTATAAAGTTCATCTGGTAGAGGAATTTATGTCAAAATCCATTCCAAAACAGACTTTTGCATGACTGCCTTATGAAAGCACCCAGATGTTAATTATTGGGTTATTCTAAAGTAATTTGACCACATAGACTCCTTGGTTCCTTGATGAACTTCCCAACCTCTCATTCCCCATGAAGCGCAGAGGCCTGCTGAGGTTCCCAGGGTTCCCAGCTCTCCTTCCCGGGTCCTGGACGATGCCTCTGCTTTCACTCAGACTCCAATCTAGGCAGTCTGTTCTCTTTACTCGTCCACATTTCTATTCAATGAAGGCTACTCCAGTCAGATATAAATACTTCCCAAATATCCTAATTCCAGCCTTAAACTTTGAAGGAACCAGGGAATTCATATCCTGGCATTGTGAGACATACTGCTAAGAGCTAATTGACTATTTTCTTTGTAAGTTTTCTTTCTGCATATTGAAAAGCTATGCATTATGGGTTATGGAAGGGAGAATGTAGGTTGTGCATTATAAGTTAAACAACTTCCACATTCTTTTGGTTTGGTTTTAGTTTTGATTTTATGGCACAAAATTTCACTATGTTGCCCAGGCTAGCCTCTGCCTCTTGTGTCATGCTTGTGCTTTACCCTACCATGTAGCTTGGACTGCTGGAGCCCTCAGCTAGTGGCATGAATGTACTTTAATGATTAAACCAATTTAAATAGTTTTCCATTGCTGTTTTGGCATTTCTGAGGCATTAGAGGAATACACTTTGCAAAGTGTCAGGCAGTAAGCGATCCTGTCTCCATTGTGTGGATTGCTGAACGCCATAAAATCTATAGCTGTTTCTATTAATTAAAAAAAACTTTGGAGGCCAGCTAGATGTCTCAGTGGGTCATTCTGATGACCTGACTTCAATCTCTGGGACCCACAATGAGGATGAAAAGAAAGGACTCCACAAGTTGTCCTCTGAACCCCACATGCAGGCTGTGGCTGGAAAGTGTGTATCCATACACACACAGAGGCACAGAAAATTAATGAATTTTAGAATATATAGTTTAAATATGGGTGTTGTGGTGCATGTGTTTAATTCAAACAGTGAGGAGGGAGAGGCAGG